TTATGTAATTCTGGCAATTCTATCTTTATTTAAAGATGTGACAATCTTGACACCGATTTTAAGAATAGTTATGAGGCTGAATTGAAGATGTCCCTACCAAGTAAGAATTGGTGTGTCCGAGGGCAAAGAGTTGAGTTGTCAGCTGATTTGGTCATTTGCTTCCAAATCTGGCTGACCTTCCTCATTGTGTAAACCTTGAAAGCTATGTGACAAGCAGGAAAACAATCCAAATAATAAAGTGACATATTGGTGTTCAGCAATAGAAGCTGTGTCTGTGTTGTCCTTGTTCTCATGAATGCAACTTCATGCAAGTCCAGCCTGGGAGGCTGCAGCTAGCTTCCCACATGCCCTGAGCTCCCACCAGCCAGTGTGGCTGAAAAAGCAGTCTGGACCCACCAGTGTCAGGTGGTCCCCGGGCTGACCATTAATTATACTTTCCATTTCTGTAGGGCTCACTAGACTTCTAGTGAGATGGAAGACACTGCAGAGCCTAGTTCTCCATCTCATCTGCTGTCCTTACTTGGCCGCTACCTGTCTCCCTAATTCAGCAAGCCAAAGCAGTCAGAACTGCTGTGAACTCCAAGGTCCCCTCTTACTAGTATAGTCTTCTCTCCCCAACAGCTCATCCCCTATCTTCTCCCCGAGCCATGAGGACTTTCTATCAGTCACTCTCTTGAATCCCTGCATCATCAGCCCTTGCTGTTTTCAAGATGACTCCTAACAGCAAACTACCCTACTTTTCACCATGCACCCTCTCCCACTTTTACCTTACTCTGTCTCTGCCCACTATAGCAGGCTCTTGATGCTGCCATCCTGGGCAGATGGCTTTGTTGTAACCTCCACTTGCAAAATCCAGTGGTTAGATCTTAAAAATGGCTTTATTGTGGTCTAGCTCATGTGGCACACAATTTGACTGTTGTACAATTCAGAACATTCAGTGGTTTGTACAACCATTTCTATAATCCATTTTCACCAACCGTAAAGAAGTCATGTTGATAACCCACTTTGTTTTTCTCCTCAAGCCTCTCTACTGGCCTCAGGCAGTCACTGGCCCACGGGTCAGTTTTCAGTCCTATGTGAGAACTTGGTAAGTTGAGCCCTTTAGCCTGGAAATGCCCCATGATTCCTGACCTCACTTCTCCCGTGGACTGCTCAGCCCTCTGGCGTCTTTCCTCCCAGCCTCTGAATGGGACGACTCAAAGTTCCCTTCTGGATCTGTATCAGTCTTCAGCCCCCTGACCAGCTCATGCAGGCTCAAAACGTTATGCATTTAGTACACATCTCTCCCAGAGACACCAAATTTCAGCTACCTATTTGACTTATGCACTAGGACATATTTAATAAGCATCTTGGTTCTTCTGGGCCTAAAACTCAGACTTTGTCTTGAAATCTTTCTTCTCCCAGTTGTATTCCATCTCAAATGGCAACTCCAGACCTTCACTGGTTTTCTGTGTCTTAAAAGTCTTGGTATCACCTTGTATTAGTTACTTGTTACTGCAACGAAATACTTGACCATGCGGTTTAAGGAAGGCAGGGTTTATTTTGGCTCAGTTTAAGGGTATAGTCCACCATGGCAGGATGGCAGCAGGAGTGTGAGGCCAGTCAGGAAGCAGGGAGATGAATGCTAGTGCTCAGCCCCTTTCTCTTCTATCCTGTAGTTAGGGTTGGTCTTTCCACCTTAATTAACCTAATCTAGACAATCCCTCACATACATCCCCAGAGGTGAAAACAGTCTAGATAGTTCCTGATAGGCACAGCCAGAGGCTTGTCTCATAGGTGATCTAGAGCCTGTCAAGTTGACATCCCAAGTCTACTCCTTGCTAACTTGACACCCAAACACAGTACTTTTAAGCTGTTAACCTCCTAGCCCTTTTCCCCATAGGCTCGTGGCCATCTAATGCAAAATGCATTCAGTTCAACTTCAAAAGTTCCCATAGTCTAACAGTTCTAACACTGTTTAAAAGTCCATGTTTCACCTGAGACTCAGGCAGTATCTTAACTGATCTATAAAATAAAAAACGAGCTACATACTTCCAACAAAGGGCCTAGGTAGTCCCTTCCCTCTAGCTCAGCTGCCTACAGGATACAGCCTCTCTCTTGGGCCATCTATATTTGGTGTCTGCAGCTTTCCTAACAGAGGTCCCATGGTTCTGGCCTCTCCAGCATCCTGGGGTCGCCACTGCAACTTAGTCTTCATCTTCAGTTTCATGCAGTGGCCTTTCAGGGCTTCATTGCAGGGATCCCAACCCTGCCACACATTGAGCCCAGTGGCTCTATGAAACCATAGTACAAGATTCCATGATCCCCTCAATCCTGTATCTTTCATATGTATTAAACCTGTACTGTGTGGACAATGCTGCCAAGTTCTGCTGCCAGCTAGGGATGGAGCCTAGGCCCCCTGGACATCACTTGATTGGCCTTTGTGTGCTGACCCTTCCTCAAGTAGTTGTTTTTGAGCAGGGAACCCCAACAAGGACAGTCTCAGTTTAGGCTTTCAAGGGAATTTGCATTTTTCTTAAGACAGAGCCTTTGACGGGTGTGGGGCCTTGCTCACAGGGCACCTTCCCTGTTGTCCTAGTGCAGAGTGCCGGGATTCTCTTGAGTGGCACTATTCTTTTCAACTACAGAAGACTGTTGGAGACTCTTCAGTGGGTGCCGTTGCTTTGTTGTCTGAATCTTTTCGTTTGCTCTGTACATGTTTTTAGATCTTTCTACCTAATTTTGTGCAGTTTTTTTTCACTGTAGATCTGGGTAACTGGTAAGCAGTTAGCCATGCCACAGCCTGAATTGCTCTCTGTCTTGAAATTTCTTCTACCAGACAAATTAGTCCATTAACCTTTAAATTCAGACTCACTGAAGGTTCAAAGACACGGGCAGAATGAAGCTAGATTCTTTGCTAAAATATAACTCAGGGGGCTGGAGAGATGGATTAGCGATTAAGAGCACTTGCTGTTCTTTCAGAGGACCCGAGTTTGGTTTTCAGCACCCACATGGCAGTCTCACAACTACCTGCATATACGTGGTGCACATACATACACTCAGGCACACAAATCAATAAATCTTAAAGATATTTATAAACTCAAATGGCCTCTAGTCCAGTTCCTGATAGCATTTGTTCCCCTCTCATGAGCTGGCTTCCACCATCCTCATTCCTTTCATCACTCTGGTCCTCCAAGCTTGCACCAGAATGGTCCACTAACCTCTGCTTACAAGCATTCAAGGCCCAAAGTTCCAAACTCCCCACATTCCTCCTGCAAACCAATTCAAAAGGCCTAAGAACCATAGGATCAGGTTGATCATCTGAATCTGCTTCTCAGTACCAGTTTTCTGTACTTGTTTTGTTGCTGTGATAAAATATCTAATAAAAGCAACTTAAGTGGGGAAGGATTTGTTTTGGCTTATAGTTCAAGGGTACAGTCTATCAGGGGCTACAGGAGCTTGAATTAGCTGGTTACATTACATTCAGTCAAGAGCCAGAGACAAATTAATGCTGGTGATCTGCTCAGCAGTTCGGGTGGGTCTAGACAATCCCTCAGACACGCCTAGTGGCCAACCTAACCTAGGCAATCACTCACAAGCATGTCTAGTAGCCAACTTAACCTAGGTAATCCCTCACAGACATGCTTAGAGACCAAACCAGTCTTGATAATCCCTCACTGGCATGGCCAAAGGCTTGTCTCCTGGAGGCCCTAGAGTCTGTCACATTGACAGTATTAACCATCCACACACTCGTCCCAGTACCCTATGCAAGAGTAAATCTCACTTGTCATCTAAGTTGACCCCTCCTCTTGCCTTCACTGTGGCAGCCTGGTCTGTGACCCTGTCTTCACTGGGACAGCTGGAATGTTCTGTAGTTTCTCTACTTGTCTATTCTCCACTCCAGTAATGTCACTGATCATTTTAAACTAAATCACGTTTTGTTTTGAAAGGCGCTTAATTTCCAAGTCTGGGGATTTTCCACATCAGTTCCTCTTACCATTTCTAGTTTAATTCTGTCTTTTCATCAGAACATATTCTATCGTGTCAGTCTTTAAAAACTTATTTTATGGTGTGGTGTGTGGCCTACTTTGGCTAATATTTTTGTGAGTGCAGGAAAGTACTGTTGGGTGTTCTGCACCTCAGCTCAAGGTCATTGGCAACGTTCAAGTTTCTCCTTGCTGAGTAGAAACTCGTACCAATTCTTTTCGTTTGTTTTTTAGACAGGGTTTCCCAGCTGGCCTGAAACTCACTATGTAGACTGGCCTTGACCTCACAGAGATCTGTCTGCCTCTGCCTCTTCCTTGATGGGATTAAAGGGGTGTGTGCCATGCCCAGCACTCTTACCAATTCTTGACAGAGGAGTGTTGAAATTCCAACTATGAACATGTATTTTTATGTTTCTCTTTGTAGTTCTGGCAGCTTCATTTTGAAGCTGTTGGAAACCACCAGCTTTACTGGAGCTCCTGCTCCCCATTTTCTGTAACTACTTTCAGCTGGAGCTGGGGCACTCATGGGGTGTGGCCTTTCCCTTCTTTCAGGGTGATGGTGTCATGTGCTGAGTTGCCCCATGTCTGAGACCTGTTACCTCACATGTTTTGTTTTGCTTCTGGTTGTTTAAGGCAAGGGGGTTAGGCAAGTTTCCCTTATACCATCATGGCCAGAAAAGGAAGTCTAATTTGAGGACTATTTCTCTGCCCAGAGCCTTCCGTGGCAACCTGCGCTGGAGGAAAAGGCCCAGTTCTGTGTCCCATAGGCCCCAGGTCATCTCTGATCTCTCAGCTCACTTGTTTGGCTTGGCTGCGGTAGCCTCCTTGCTAATCCTTGCCTTTGTGTAGAAGTTGTGTTGGCCACTGGGCTCATTGACCTTGACTCTTGGTTGGCCACAGTGACCTCCGTGCTCTGCCCTGGTGCCTTCTTGAATAAGCCTTTCCCCTGGGCCAGAAAAGAAGGGTGTTCCCAAGCTGAGGACAGGAGCCTGAGGACATGGCTACCCTGCCAGAGGGTAGCCCTTCCTCCAGGTCCTGCTAGGCCCTTGGAGACACTAGAGGGTCAGGTTTGTCAGGTCCCTGTCTCCTCAGGCCACCCTGGGATGGGGCATGAAGGCAGGTCTGGCACCTGGTAACCCCCTCAGACTCTCACCAGGGCCCATGTCATCTGGCTGTTGATGGAGGCACAGTCTTACAGGCTGTGAGGTTTTTAAGACTTAGGAACCAGGCTGGTCCTACCCTGTGGCCTTTGTTCTTTGTCCTAATGGAAGATGGCAGGAGCTGCAGAGCTTAGGACCAGGAACATGGAGCTAGATGCCGAGGAAGAGTGTCAGTGAAATGGAGAGCTATTGTGTAGGCAGTGGGGCAGCATGCTGGCAGCTGGCAAAGGGCAGGTGTGTGCCATTGAACAGGGGCTGCACTGCTGTGAAAACTCGGGGCAGTCACTCAAGTCCTATGTGCCTGCTTCCTCACCCATCAAATGGAGCCAGTGTGAGGGAAGTAGGGCTGAAGAGAGTGCGGAGCCCAGGCCCTCTGCTTTGCAGCCTGGCTGGCTTTCTCTCAACATAGTTCTCATATTTTGTTCTAGGTCTGAGATATTGATCTGCTGACAGGGAATGTAACATTGTGGCCATAGATTTGGAGGGACAAGGCCCACTACCTGACACCCTCCCTACTCCCAGGCCTACCCAGGGTTGCCAGCAGAGGTCTAGCCTGCCTTGGGGTGCTCCGAGGCCTGTCAGTCCCTGGCATAGCACTACAGCACCCTGCAGAAAGAGTTCCTGTGAAGGGTGTGAGACTGGAGGTGCCCAGGGTGTATTAATGGTCATGATTGGCGGGGGGAGAATTCTGACTGTGAGGTAGCCTGAGCCAATCCCAGTGCAGTCAGGTTCCACTAACATCCCATGGGACTTGGTGACAGCTGTATCTTGCACTTGAGTGACCTCAGTGGGGCTCAAACTCCACAGCCTCTGCAGTGGTGGGTCAGATCTGTCTAGAGGAACCAGAGCCTTGGAGCCTGTGTGTAACCTTGTGTCTGCTGATGCTCTGGAGTCTGTTGGTGCATGGAGCTGGACACCTGGGAGAAGCAGCTGCCTCAGGCATTCTCCCAGCCTGGTGAGGGCTGCATCTGGCCTGAGCTGCCTCCTGTCACGTCTTGCTGGGAAGCCTTCCAGTCAGGGCCAGAAGGACAGGCGTGTGTGAGAATCAGCTGACGCTTGCTTCCCTTGGGCCTGGGGCTCTCGAAGCCAAAGCTCTTTTCCCATGACCTGTCCACACAGTGTGCCTTGTACTGTCCTCTGTGGAAACCTCTGGATGGTTGTCAGAACACTAGGCATAGAGCCCAAAGACCCCTCTCATTTCCCAAGGTGGGTCTGTCCTCGGGCACTCTCCTCTGAGGGTGAACTTGACTTTTGAAGCTTTTCCAGGCCTGTCTCCCTACCTGAGTTGTGGGAGCCCCACTGTCTGGGTCTACTGACTCCAGTGCTTTCTTCAATTGACTGGGGCCTGGTGCCATGTGGGCTGAGTCTGTGAATGGGAGCAAGGATCTCACAGATCCTGGTAATGGGAAGGCAGCAAGGAACCAAAGCAGAGGGTTTTCACCCTGATGGTCCTGGGGCAGGGGATGCTGGCTGGCAAGCAGAGGGGGCTCTTTCTCACGTATGGATCCTTGTAGGGGCTGAGGGTGACAACTAGAGTGGGTGGGAACAAATCCATGGCTCATAGGGTAATGGTGTAGCTGGGATCTGAGGCCTGTGGTGGGACCAACAGGAAGAAAACTGGGTGGGTGCAGAGGTCAGTTAAGGGAGGATGAGGTGAAGAGGGAGAGCAGACAAGTAGAGGGAATGGGCCTGTGAGGCAGGGACAGAGGGCAGGGTGGAATACCATCTTCCCAGAGGCCCTCCTCAATTCAGTTACAATATGGACTACAGGAGGTAGAGCAGCAGAGGGCAGCTGGCCTACACTTTCAATCTTACAACAGGAGTCCTGAACGACTTGTGTGTGGCAGGCACCACCTGTTCCCAGTACTGGGGACACAGAGATGGGCAGGCCACAGATCAATACAACATCCTCCCTCTCACACACCTGGCGTGTTCATATGTCCATCCTCTCCTGTGGCCATGGGCACTGTGGAGGGCAGAAGGGAGGCATGTGGGAACAACAGTCTTGAGTATGAGGAAGCCCAGCTGGGGTCTTCGAGGCCCCTCACAGCACTGAAGAAGGGTAGCCTAGAAAGGTTGCAGCTGTGACCACAGGTGGACAGGTAGGCTGATGGACTCATATTGGGTGCCCAGCACCCACTGATTCACAGCAAACTGTATTTCTGTAATGGCTCCCCAAATTCAAGCTTTGGGGGAGACCAGGAGCCAGGGCTAAGAACCCCATTTAAATTCCTTTCCCAGTAAACCCAGAAGCCCAGGCTGGGCTAGGTGGTTAGATCTTGGGATCACATGTCTCAGGCCTTTATTGGTGGCTGCCATTTACTGATTCCTTAAAACATGAGCCTGATCTAGAAAGTTCTATCAAGCACTGAACAACCATTGACTAATTATGCCCTGGGGTGCCTCCTCCCACGCAAGGGTAAGGGGCAAAGGTCAGAGTCAGGGTTCCAAAAACAATGGATACTGAGCCAGCTGCCACCCCATCTCTGGGTAAAGCAGGGCTCAGGTGTGGGGCACTGAGTACCATGAGGCAGGGTTGTTCCAGCCTCCTGCTGAGGAGGCTGTGGTGGAGCCTGAGGTCTGAACAGCTACCAGGATAGCTCACAGGGCTCAGCCAGGGTCCTGAGCACCTCACCCCAACCCCTGTGGCCCTGGCTGCCTGGGAGAAGCTGTCATGCCTGAAGCCAGTGGACCCCCATAGAGCCAGCGGGGGAGGTGGACAGCACTCTTCAGCAGGCTCCAGCCCATGCCAGGCCTCCTTTGGAGCAGGTGTCACCAGCACTCCCAGAATGCCTAGGCTGACTGCAAGCTTTGGGGCTTGACTTAACCCCTGGGTTCCCCACCTTGCTGCTTCATCTGTCACCACCTGACAGAGAAGGTGAGGCGGGGCTTGTTTCTGAAGGGCAACGAGGTCTGTCTGCTATGCCTGGGAGAGAAGTAGGAGTCAGACAGGAGGGCTGCATTTAATAATTCAGTTACAGTCTGATAATATTGCTAAACAGAACCAGGATTCAGGTTTGGGATCCCACCCCATTCTCAGGACCTCCTCCTTTAGCATGGCTCTTGTGATGGATATGGTGGGTACATGCCCTAAGACACCACCCCACCATGGGACCCTGGTGGGGACTTGAGTGATTGGCACCCACTGTGAATGCCACATGGAAAGCTGGCACTTCTTGGCTGGTGAAGCTCAAAGGCAGCTGAGGTTCTGGAGCAAAGTGAGGCAGCTGGCAAGGGGTGCATGGGACCCAGGAAGGGGCCAAATGAGAGGGTGCTAGGGATCTGCCAAGTGTCTCAGCTGCCCTCTTCTATCCACAGGGCTGGACTTTGCAGGATGAGGGTGCCTGCCATCCACTTCAGAAGGCCAAGTAGCCAGCATGGGCTCTGTGCAGGTCAAACAGCAGGTGTTGATCCTCACAGTCTGGGAACAGGGGAGCCAGCATGCTGGCCCTTAAGTGGCCTCCTCCTTCCCATCTTCCCGGGGCTCCTCCTTCAGGTTTTCTGCCACCAGCTTCATTTGCTGTTGAGAGAACACAGGACATGAGATGAGCTATGCAGGCCTAAGGAATGGCACCAATGTAGCAGAGGCTCTGTTCTACAGACACTCTGGCAAGGGCTTGGAACCCCAGGGAGGAGACACCACTCAGTTGCCACCCATGGCTCGTTTCCTATATCCTTCAGATGGCTCAGACAGGAGTGGTTGGTGACGATGAAAAGGTTGATGTGAGGCCAATAAAGTGGTTGGGTCTAAGAAGCAGCAGGCTTCTCCCTGGATGGGTGGTGGGGCAGAGCCCCAGAGAGGACAAGACACTGAAGAAAGCCTAAGTCCTTACTCTGTCCCTGTGAACTGAGTTGCTGGGCCCCTTTAGCCTCAGGAGCCTGGGTGTGCCCATGGGGAAGAGACAGCACCGTGCCGATGCTGCAGGACAGACCACCACCTTTCCCCAGCCTCTATTTTCTGCAGCCGAAGGGCCACTTTCCCTCTCGTCCACATCCTCCCTGGGGAATACCCTGTGAGTTCCTGAATGGAAGGATGGAAGACTGGCAGGGAGGAGTCAGGAGAAGAGCCAGCACCTCTCCCTCTCCCAGCCCTGCAGAACTAGCCACCTCTTCCTGCAGGTGCTGTAAAACATGGTTTCTGCTCTGCTCTGCCCAATTTGTTAATCAGTGAATAAGTACTTTGGAATTTGGTTTAACACACAGGTTTCTGATAACAGTCACGTATCTGTGGAAAACAAAACTCACTGAGTGCAAACAGTGCTGGTCTACACATACCAGGCAGTTCCCTTGGGGACCTGCTGCCACATAGGCCCAGGGGCAGGAAGCAGAGTTCTAAGGGGCAATGGAGACCTCCAAGGCCATAAACAAAAGCCTGTGGATACCCATGTGTTGCCCATAGTCTGGGCAACACATGGCTCAAACATAGCTATGGGGTGGACCCTGCACTCAGACTAGAGAGGGATCTCTCTAGCCCTGCTCCATATCCACATATGGCTTGGGGTGGCTATTGAAAGGAGTGGGGCAGGTAGAATCAGGTGGTCAGCTGACTGGTGGGGGCCATCCTTTCTGCAGGGGCCTGGGTCACTGGGTGGACCCACAGCTGATCCCTTACAAACTGATGGAGTTGGTTTGAATTAGTCCCCAAATCTGTAGAAAAAAACCATGGTGCCTTGTGTATGGCTCCCCAGGGCAATACCCTGGCCTCTCACCTTTCCTGTTACCAACCCACAGCCTCTCACAGCTCAATGGAAAATTCCCCAGTTAAGGAAACCACACTTCAGCCCTGGCTTGCCATGAACTGTGCCAGCTGGTGTCATTCAATAGCCATGGAACTTGTGAAAACATTTTTTTCTGCTACTTTTTATTATATTGTCTTTCCACAAGAGAGGAAGTACTGACTCTGTGAGAGACTTAAGTTTTCAGAACAAGCAGGATTAATAATTTGGGAAGTGTCAGAGCAGTGTCTTATACAATTCTATAGTCAAATAAAATTATGGTGGCATGAACTGTGTGGGTGGTATAGAATTGAGAGGGATGCTGGTCTTCAGTTGGCTAGGAAATATCCTGGAGCTGAGGAAAATGTCTTTATGACTGAGAGAAAGGATGAATAGACAGATGGACAGATGAAAGGGCAGACAGATGGAGGAGTGGATGGATGAACATCTATTTCCTGACTGATAAGTAACCATAAGAAATTAAAAGGCTGCAGAGGCCGCTCAGTGGTTAAGAGCACTGGCTGCTCTTGCAGAGGCCAGGAGTTTGATTCCCAGTACCCACATGGCAGCTAACAATCATCTATAACTCCAGTTTCAGGGGATCCAATGCCCTCTTCTGACCTTTGTGGGCATTACATGCATGTGGGCACTTAAATGCAGGCAAAACACTCACAAAATATAAATAAATAATTCTTAAAAAGAAACTAAAGACTAAGTCAATTTAGAGCAGAACAGTGCTGAGGGCAAAACAGCCCCTGGCACTCCAGATGGGGAGGGAAGCAGACCAAGCGGCATGGGCACCAGAGGCTCTTTCTGAGGGGCAAACAGCCTCACAGCACTGCCAGGTGACAGACATGGCAGAGGTCCTGCAGTTCTCCTGACAGCTGATGTAGCCCAAGGCAGATGGGACCTCTCCCCTGAAAGACTACACCTGCGTAACATTTGTCCCCATTTGTCCATATAATTGCTGTCCCCATGGGGGCATCCCCATGACCACAGTTGCTCTCTCAAGTCCAGGGTCAGGGGCTTCACCCAGGTCTAGGGAAGGAGCTCAGGGCGGCTCCTCAGGTTCTAGTGGTGTCTATGAGGTCCCAGGGCCACCTTCACCTAACTGCTGTGCTGGAACAAGGCAGGAAGGGCAGCCGGGGATCCTGGACTTTTCCTGATGCCAGTTAGAGGTGTTCTGCGCACTTCAGGCCTTCCCTTCACCTGGCCTGGATGATGAAGCCCAGCGGCCCAGCCAGCTGAGCCAGTACCATCCCAGTGCCTCCCTCCCTCCACAGTTGCTCCCTCAGGGTTAGGTCTGCAACACTGGACCTTGGCGATCTGGAGTTGCTTTCCTGAACTGAAGGCCAGCCTGGCCAGAGGCCCTGAGGTGAGCTCCCCTGTTGCTTAGCTCTTCAACTTCTCTTCAGCAGACTTGGCTTCAGGGAAGATGTCCCCTTTAAACATTAACTGGCCTACTAGGGACCCTGAAATTAAAACCTTCATAAATGCACAGGCAGAATAAGATAATAGAGATGACATTTTCCCTATAAAATGGCAACAGAATCAAGGGAGAATAGAGTTTTTTCCAACTTGTGACTCATTCAAACACTCATGTTTGAAATTGTCCTTTAAAAGGTGCAGGTGGCCTCCTGCACCATTGTACCTATTACACCAAGCACCTAAGCTTAACCCAGGGGTATGTGTAGGTGAGTGTCCCTTGGCACTACAGAAAAGATCTTCTGAGACCTGCCATGTTTCCTCCAGGACTGGGATGGGTGCAGTAGACCTCATTGACCCCTTGGACCTCACATGCTCATAGCAGATTCTCCCTGGCCCAGCCCACCCTCAAAACTTCAGGATCCTTCTATTAGAAGCACTTAGGAAACTGCTTCCTGGTCACACCTACTGTCCAACTTAAAATCTCAGCACTTCCCTGTTACCCTGATCCCCAGACAACAAAGTACTAAAGGATCTGAGCGATTCTGAAGGCTGAAGGATGAAACTTCAGGTACTCCTCAGCCAGTGGGAATTCACTGGTGGCCTCCCAGGCCCCCGCACCCTCTAGGCATAGAGCTCCATGCAGGGATGGAGGTGGACTGCTGGTCTCTGGGTCCTGGGTGGGTAGCTGACAGGGACAAGTTCGCAGGTCAGTTCAATTCCACCACAGCATCTGGCTCTCAGAGTCCTCCTAGCAGCAGGGGTGCAGTCTGGGATAGAAGAGTATGACCCCAGTTCTCACTCACTACCCACTGCTCAAAGCTCACCTCAATTCTGATTTAATTGGTCTAGCGCATGGCCCAGCGGCTTTTGTGAGCTCCCCAGATGGCTCTAGCCTGCAGTAAGGTAGTCACCATGGGAGCCTCTGATGGAGGGAAGGGACTCTGCTTCCCCAGCAGTGTTGCCATGGGTGTCATCTTCACAGTTGTGGGAAGTGGCTGAGAAAGTGTCTGGTTTGAAGGCCTGTGCTGAAGTAAAGCCAGCGAGAAAATAAGCGACCTCACAGTTCTGCCGAGGAAGGAAAGGAAATGCTAGAGGCAGCATGCTTTCACAGTCAGCACCATCGCATGTGAGGAACTTCACCTCAAACAGGCAGGCCTCTGAAGCTATCCTTTAGTGCTGCCAGCTCTAAGACTGTCCTGGGTCTGGTGAGGCCTTCAGCTCTGACAAGCCCCACAGCAGTGAGCATGGTAGAAAAAGACCTGCATAGCTGAGGGCCCAGGCCGGCAGCAGGAGATGTTGATGCAGCATCATATTCAAGTTCTTGAAGTCAGTGTCATTCTCTAAACAAACATTTTCAGTCACGTGCCCAGGACAGGAGAAAGCACAACAGTAGTGTGGGCTTGCTGTCAGAAGGGCCAGGAGTTCAGGGTTTGCCATGGTGCAGCTTTGGGCCCAGCCCGTAAGTGTTAGTAGGGCAGCCAGCTTTAGACTAGGGTTCTGCCATGGCTCTTTAGGTGTGGCTCTGGTGAAAGTGTCTGTAGTAACTCCTGGGTGGGAGGAGCCAGGAGAAAAGCCAAGTACCCCAGGAAGGTCTCCAGATTATCAGTTTGGGCCCAGAGGGACTAAGCCAAGAAGTCAAGCCCCACTCCCAGAGCTCCGCACCTCCATGGCAAGGTGTGTTTGTCCCATGAGGACTTGCTGGTATTCTGGATGGCCTGCTGAAACTTGGACTCTATAGGAGGACTCCCAAACAGTAGCTGCTTCCCTGGAGCACTCTAGCTCGAGGAGTCTACTGCTGGCTTGCAGCAGGTCTGAGCCGTACTCTCCCTGTTCTGTATACAGTTTTCTTTGGCCCTTTACAGTCTGTGTGCGTATCTTCAGTTCTTTGACTAAAACACCAGGAACTGGAAACGTGCTTCCAGACAGCAGCCTCCAGTGTCACTTCTATTTCATGTCTGTTTTTTAAAAGCTAGATTCTACATAGGAGAGGAAGTGTGGTATTTTTATCTGGCTTGTTTTGCTCAATGTTATGACTTTTAGTTCCACCCATTTTCCTTTAAATGACACAATTTTACTCTTTTTTATGGCTAAGTAGTCCATTGCCTATATATGCCAGATTTTCTTTACCCATTCATGTGTTGATGAGCTCCTAGGCCTATTCCAGAGCTTGATTGTATGAAGAGGGCCAGAATGAATGAACATGGATGTGCAGGCATCTCTGTGTGCTGACTGACTCCTTGTGGCATATACCCAGGAGTGGCACAGAAGGGTTATATAGTTCTTTTTTTCCCCTGGTGGCTAGACTGTTTTACATTTTCACCAAGGCAGTCTAGGAGCATGTCCCCAGTCCCATCCCCATCAGTGTCTGTTGTTTGTT